ATAAAATTTAATAAATTATAATAGAAATTTTTAAGGCTTTCTAAATGTGGTCAACAATCCAATAAAACTTGACATTTTTTTTTTTATTATCGTTAACTCCTCCTATTTTTAAATTAATAGCCAATTATCGTTTACTTGTCAATATCTACAATAAAATTTTTAGAACGATTTATCTTACAAATTTAACTGAGGACCGAATATGTTTGTAGGAAACTTTATAGGAATTTATTTAATTTTTTTTTCTCTCCTATTTAATTCTTATTTATTTGTAGGAGATTTTTAAGTGTTTTTTTTTTCTCTATTTTTCTCGTTATACAACACATTTCAAATATTAATATCAAATGAATTTGTATATAAATTATTAATTATATCCCCATATTTTTAATTATATTATTACATCCATATTTTATTTATTATAAAAATTAGATTTTTTTGTATTGTATTAGATGAGAAAACAATCTATAATTATTTAATTTATAATTTACAATCAGAATATATTAATAAATATAGCGCTAGAATACAAAAAAAAACTATATAGGCCTAAATTATTCAAATTTCTCTTAAATATATTAGAAAATCATATTAATCTTATATAAATTTTGAATTTAATTTATTAAATAACGTTAAATCTTTTTAAAAAATTAAATTAAAATTAAAATATTAAAATTTAGCTGGCGAATTTTTGGAATTGTTTTCTTACTTTTTCTGCCCTGTAGGTATTGTTAGGGCTTTTTATGGATCAGGCCAAGCCCATAATGGGTTTAGCTGAAGTGGTTTGATGGCCAAGAGGGAGGAAATAACTGAAATTGCCAAAATTATAACCCTTTATAAGAATTTCCTACAATTTTCTCAACTTTAGTCCACTATAATCTATAGTCGACCCCCTATAACACTGTTGATTATTCCGTTTTATATGAATTCCATGTTGTACGAGTCACTTAGATTTTACAATTACGTGTACCGGGCTGTGAACGGCTCACATATTTGTAAAATTAAGTGACTCATACAACATGGAATTCATATAAAACGGAATAATCAACAGTGTTATAGGAGGTGGTCGACTGTTAAATTTCATCTCATGCTTCAATTATTACCTTATGCTGTTTAGTGTTAATTCACCAGCAACATTTTATAATATTTTATCATCAGCACAGTATTTTTTTAACTTAAAAAAAGCTATTTTTTGCTAATTTTTTAATAAAAATCTTACAATTTTTTAATATAAAACTCAACATAAAAAAATGTATATTTTTTTAAGTAAAATTAATGATACAAAAATAAAGTTAAGCAATAATGAAAGATTTTTATTGATTCTAATCAAGATAATTCTATTAATTAATCATTTATTATTCGCAATAATTAAATTTATTACGAATGCAATATTTATTCAATAACAAAGTTTTAACATGGTTGAAAGAAGAAAGAATTATCTCATTGTTGAAATTAATTACAAGGAAGTTGATAAATTAACATAGCATCTTAGCGTGATGATTTCGCAGTATATGCTATTAATTACCAAAATTATTTTTAAAAAGTTCATAATATGTATAATTTTATACATAAAATTCAAATTTTTTATGTATATTTTGACATATAAAGCCCGTTAGCATGTGGGTTCACGTGAAGTTTTCCTGGTTTACTTCACGTTTGTAACACCTAAATAGGGCCAGTTTACCATTAGAAAATCTTCCTGGGAGGAACACCTCCTCAGCAGTGTCGCATTTCCGTATACAAACAAACAAACAGGCATAAAAACGTAAAGATGTGAAGGGAAATGTCGATCCTGTACACCAATCCTCTCATAGATAAATCATACACTTTCTTTCTATACACTTATAACGTGTTCTAATCGTGTTTAACCGGTGGATAATCGTGATTTTTAACGATTTATTGTATATTTTTTATTCCTGTGCATAACCCCCTGCAGTGCATTGCATTATACATTGCTTTTAATATTCGTGAAGAGAAGAACACTTCCAACTTATAATTACTTTTGTATGAAATAATTTTGAGGTTCCTTGAATGCTCCATTTAAATAATGTAAAGAGCCTTAAACAGGAATGTTAATGGCCCTCTGGAGATCTCGTTAAGGCTCTTAAATAGACATCAAATGATAAATTTGTTTGACAATTAATAGGTGGTTCAAAAATCTTTATAGAATGAACTTTAGTGGCAGAAAGGAAACAATATACCTTAAGCCGAGTAAACGTACCGGTACGTGTGTACCGGCTTTACAAAATTGTTTAATACCCGAGGTGCCGGTTTTATTCGGAAGAAACCCCTTTAGAAAAGAATGCAACTGCACTGGTTATCCTCATAAATCCGCTCCCGAGGACAATCCCTCTGATCATTTTCTTTTAAGAAAGACATTTAGACACGACCCTCTTATAAAAACCCTCTTTCTTGTGTATAAATTGTTATAAAATTAATCTTTTTAGACTGGAACGGGCGAACAGACTGAGCTCTCCTCCCGTTATATAACAAGTTATGGAAATCCGTCTGGCATTCTCAACGAAGCAACATTCTGGAGTAAAAAAAGTCACTAACCCAGGTGCACGGCTATTGAGACGTCCTGGCACGTCACTCATTAACAGAAACCGCAATTTTTTGAGGGAAGAACTCTCATCTCTGCCCATTTCTGTTAACACGACAGACGCCATTTTAATTTCTCTAGTACAGAACTACGAAGATATTATATAATTTACAGCATCCGAGATATAGTAACCAACAGAGACGTGATAGTGGCTGGGATGAGATAGGAAATGTAAAAAAATCAGATCAATATGGCCTAAGTACTGTTTTATTTGACGTAACTGAAGAATATAATATAATTTATAGAATGTTGTATGCATGTCTAATTAAAATCTAGAATGAAGACTACCCATTTTTTTCCCTGCACGTGTAATTGAACGTACGGATTGTCTACTTTTTTGACATTTGTCCTACTTTAGAAAAGTAGGACAAGACTCTGGATATTGCTACGAGTTTTTTTTGCAATGGATAGCTCTGAGTGTGTGGGAAATGAAAGTTTTTATTGTGAAAAAGTAAAGGATTTTAAGGTATTCAAACTGTTCTTAGCACTGCCTAAAGTTTGCATTAGCACAGAAGTATATAATAGGAAATGTATTAAAAAGAGGCTAGTCTAGAGGTAGGGAAGCCTTAACACGAAAACCAAATGTGGCACATCAACGGCATGCGACTCATGACTCACATTAACTAAAAAATAAATATTCAACATCTTTGCCGAGTTTGACTTTTAACTTAATACAATTTTATTAACTAGAGAGATACTGAATGAAAATGCAATAAAGAAACACAAACACTACCAATTGTTAAGTGAGCAATATGGGATACGGCATGTTCCTCGTAAAAACAATCTAATATACACCAACATTAGGGTAGACCATACCGCTCTGGGATCCGAGATAGAATCCAGAGGGATCGGAAAAACCACAGAATATTTCGGGAGGTGATCCGTTCAGATATGTCAGGCCTTGGATCTTGCCACCCGGCCTTCCAATGTGGGCCTGGCCGAATTCATAATGAGTTTGATAAGTTTCTTTCAAAAAACTTTCAGGACTAAAAGTGTTTATATATTGTAGATAAATCATGGCGATACGTGCTTGTTGGGTGTTGTCAATTGTGTTTGCAAGGACTATTGAGGAATACATGTGTAATTGCATTATAAAATTACGAGTTTTCAATATATTATAACGTAAACATGCAATGCACTGTATGACTTTTTTATAGGAGCAGTATGCCGGTATCGTTGGAAGCGCATGAGTGATAACTATCGCAGGGTTGTCAATGAAATGGAATTGTCCTTTCTCACTCCTTATATAAAAGACGAGGAAGCACTCCACACGAATATTTCTCAGCTACCAAATTCCCAAATAGAGGAAGATCGTGAAGGTGACATAACCTATCCTACTGATGGTATACGAACTATCCGAATCCCGCTGTTCGAAATTCAAACATTTCAAATCGAATCCAAACAAGACGAAAGAGCAAGAGAAAATCTACATTAACAGAAGACAGCACTCATGCAGCATTAGTGTTAAGAGCCTATTTGCAAGAAAGAGAAAATGGAAATCTACTTTACAGTCAAGATCCTCTTACTAACTTCTTTTTAACTGTGCGCGGTTTCCCAAAGAGAGAGATCAAGTGGCAATAAAAGCAAAAGTATTTCAAGTGGTAAGTGAGGTGGAGATGAGGATTGCTTCCGAAATATCTGGCCCTTCTATTCAGTATATAGATCAACCAAATACAGATAGAGGAACCACAATTCCGTGGCCATTACACCACAAAAAGTATAAAGATATGCCAATTACAACTTCTGAAGAGTTTTCTTCGCACGACTCAAGTACATTTGAGTATACATAAATGTAAACATTAAGTTGAAATAAATAGATTTTTAAAGTTACGTTAGGCAAACTGCTAGTTTATTCGCTTCTATTCCTGATATGAATTTTGTATTTTTTTTCTCTACATTAACCATAGATGTAAATTATTCAGGTGTCATTCAGAAATATTAGAAAATTTCATATCATATCTCAGAAAATTGGATTGGATTAGACTGATGGAAGGAGGCAACATGAAACTTGAGCGAATTGCCAAGGAGTTGTGCCTCTCGGAAGAACTTTCTATGGGAAATTGGCTCTTATTTAGGTGTTACATACGTGAAGTAAACTCGGAATACTTCACTATTGTCGACTCGCACTTCAACAATGAACCACTAGAGGAGCCAATGTTTAGTGGTTTCATCCACTCGGCCACTTGTTGGCGCCATAGCAAATTGGGAAACAAATTATTAAGTTCATTACAGGAAAGTTTTTTAGCAAACATGTAATTATGTTCTTCGCTTCTTTATCACTTTATCTTTTTTCTTTTATTTTGCACCCACCAATGGGCAAGTGGATAAAACTACTAAACAATGGCAGTTTGTTATAGGTTCGTGCCTCACAATAGATTGACCACGTGGAGTATTTCGGTTTCTCTTAAGGACGTAACTTTACATAGACGCCAATTTCTCATAGAAAACCTTCTCGAGAGGCACCACCCTTGGCAGATCGCCCATGAATTGCGTTGCCTTATTCCATCTTTTCATTGTCTTCTTACAACTCGACGTCACCACATTGAGAAAACGCCTCGTCTGAATACTTTCTTTTCGCTTTAAATTCCATGCAATGCGCTGAAGTGGGCACACAACAATGAGATTCCTCTACCTCCGCTCGCCTGTGTGCCACTTATCTTAAAGTTGTCGTTGTATTGAATCACAGAAAAAAATTCAAAATTAATTAGCAATTATTTAATTTTAACGATCAGTTTCACGAAAAAATTTAACTCCTACAATACAATGTTATATAATTAGAAAAGCTTTATAGGTATACATACTAAATTCGATTGTTTGTAGCTGAATAAATAAAGAGATAATTTAATTTGTAGACAACACTGACGTTTAAATTTAATCTTTAAATATTGAATTAATTCCGATTTAACTACCATTAGAGGAACAATTCATCTTGGTGTTCAGTATTGTTAACCCGAAGAGTGTTCGTGATATTAATTAATATATTGTCGAGTGCACTTAACTGAGTGTTTTATAATTAAGTTTGTCAGCTTAAAGTAGTGTTTTTATATATATACACACACACAAAAACTTATTTTATCAACGTCACACTATTAGATCAATGTGTAAGTGTGTCTTTTCGCTATATATTTAGATAAAAGACAAAAGTTAGAGTACTTACATTAAATGGGGACGTATTTAGATACAAGAAAACTTCAAGTATTTGATATAATTAATGAGAAGGAAATGTATAAAATGGAAGTTTTAAATATTTTCTACTGTATTAATTTAGTTTTAAATTGTTTATATAAAAATATAGTATTTTTTTTTCTGTTCCTATAAAGTTAATTGGTGCCTCTATTCGACATAAGGAATGCCTTGTTCCATCAATTCAATCATATTCTCCAGGCTTGGTTAACCGAATTTTGGGCTAGTGTATTTTTTAAAAAATTGTAAANCCGGTATAGAAGGAAGGCCCTTTTAGAGTACACAGCAAAAACATTAAAAAAATCTAACCATAAGTATGGTATAGTATGGAATAAGGCAACATTGGGCATTTTCCTTATATTTTTATTAGCTAAAAGCATCAGATTTTATTCTATCAATAGAAAAAAGGATACAATTTCATCAATGAGAAAACTGTTATAAAGTGATGATTTTATTAAAATTTATAAGATATTTTTTAATAAAAAAATCAAAGAAAAGTAAGTTAAAAACAATTTTATTATATATTTTTTTAATGTCTAAAAATTATATTAAATTGTTTCTAAGGTTAAAGTTATAAATCAAGGGGGAAAAAACCAAGTTTTGACATTTAAACATTGATTTTTATCGCACTTGTAGTGATTAAATTACAAGTTTTATTGCTTAATAATTTGTAAAAGACCATCTGTTGATAATAACTTACATCAATACCATCGATTTTTTCCTTTTTTTTTAAAGGAAATGTAGAATTATAAGGTAAAATATAATATTAATCCGTAAAAATATTTGTTTCTGAAGGGTGGCCTAAAAGTCAGTTAACTGTTAAGCTAATTAAAGCTATTAAGACAGCGATTTGATCTTCACAGTGGTTAACTGGCTTTTGGGCCACCCTGTATTTTAAACAGGGAGTAAAAGAAAATATAATACTAAATAATTGATAAAATATTCTTTAATTTTAAAATATTTATGAAATTCCTTTAAAACAATAATTTAATTGTTTTTTTTTTTAATGTTATTATAAATAATAGGAAAGTTTAGATGAATTATAACAAAATTTTAAATGAAATTTTAATGAAGAAAGTTTCTTAGAGATTACCTAAAATAATATACTTTAAAAATTTTCTTCTATAAATTATTAAATAGTTTAATAACTTAATACAACAATATATCAACAAAATATTAAATTAAACCACTAACAAGTTTACCAATTTAAAAAAATAACAAATAAAAAATACTAAAACACAAATACTAAATAAATAAATACCATGCCAAAAATACTACATCAAATGATTTGGCTGTATTAGCTTTTGCTATTCGCTCAGTACCTTTAGACACTTAAATAAACCCGGAAAATTCTATGCAACTAGCACGCTAGTGAGGTAAGAACCCGCGACTCCCACCAGTGGACAAGCGGTCTTCGTACCCTGAACACTGGGAGTTCGGTGGTGGAGTTTTTCGGGTTTTATCCACATCTGTAACGCCTAAATAGGGGCCAATTTCCCTTAAAAATACCTCCAGGAAGGCAGATGGCCCGAGTATTGCCTTGCCATAACTTAACAAACGAACCCACGACCATCCATGTTTATTACTTTTTACGACGATATGCCGAGGGGGGAATGTCTCCCGAAAAACTTAGATAAACTTAGATAAACTGGCCCTTATTTAGGTATTACAAATGTAAATAAAATCGGAAAACTCCACGTTTGTGAGATGCGAACCCGTGATCAAGTACTAGTGTAAAGTGTTTTTTTTTTTTTTATATTTTTATGA